CTATTTACACTATTTAAATTGTTTGAACTGTTTTCCTCGTCTTTGCTGCCATATTCACAACGTTTCGATCGTTGTACGCTCCAACATTCTTCAGGATCTGTCTATATTATTGAGATGAAGTATTTTAACTATTTAAACTATTTACATTGTTCGGGCAGATGCCCGCATCTTTGTTGCCATATTCATGACTTTTCGGCCGTTGTACACCCCGGCATTCTTCAGGATATTTCTTTCGAGATGTGGTATTTTAATTATTTACACTATTTACAATGTTCAGACTGTTGTCCTCATCTTTGCTGCCATATTCACGACGTTTCAGCCTTGTACGCTCCGGTCTTCTTCAGCGTGTCTTTCTTTCTGAGATGAAGTATTTTAACTATTTGCACCATTTACTTTGTTCGGAGTGATGTCCGCATCTTTGTTGCCATATTCACTACGTTTCGGCCGTTGTATGTTTCGGCCTTCTTCAGTAATTGTCTGTATTTTTGAGATGAGGTATTGTAACTATTTACATTGTTCGGACTATTGTTCTCATTTTTATTGTATATTCCCGACGTTTCGGCCATTGTACCTTCTGTCCGAAAACAATATAAATAGTCTAAATAGTTATACAAAACTATGATTATATTTTGCATCTTGTGTTTGATAATGAATATGAGTTTTGATGGGTGCTGAAAATTTCTCGGTCCTGATCACTTCTCTCCCCACCGAGCAGAAAAAAAAATCACTCTTAATATGTTACCTTTAGTCTCCAGCTATTCAGGTTTATCAACTCTTAATTCATGGAACGCGGGAGGGGCTTTTTGTTGTCGTGTCATCTGAATGATCTCATGGCTGATTTTAATAAGAAAAAAAAAAAGAGATTCGGGGCCCGAAATCAAATAGATGACATCGGTAAAAATTAACGTATACACGGGAATACATGATAGAATATTTCGCTTAAAAGTGAAATAGATATTATCCACATATGTATTCTATTGTTTATCAGTAAAAATTGATTCACCGTCTTTACCATCAATTTCAAATTACAGAAAATTTTTTTACATCAACGAACAATTTGAAGAAAAATTCGGCTGTGAGTTGAAATGAATTCCGCATGGCAATTTCTCCTCCCGAATTTTTTTCCATTTTAGAGGCAACATCTCCCAGATAAAAATTAGAGTTGAAATGGTTGACGAGAAAAACACGTAATAATTGTACGGGATAAAATTTGTATACATATTTCACAGATATGTTGGTATACGGATACAAATATATATTGAAACAGAAATAGGGTAATGCAACGAGTTAAAAAAAATCGAAAAAAAATGTTTACCTTTACTTTGAACTTACAAGACATTTTTGTTATATTTAACAAAACACGCATAATTTATATATATATATATATATATATATATATATATATATATATATATATATATATATATATATATATATATATATATATATATATATATATATATATATATATACACTTTACATGTGTGTGTATCATATATTTTATATATATATATATATATATATCATATATATATATATCATATATATATCATATATATATATATATATATATATATATATATATATATATATATATATATATATATATATATATATATATATATATATATATATATATATATGTGTGTGTGTGTGTGTGTGTGTGTCTTTGTGTGTATGTATTCAAACATATATTGTTAAATATAACAGACAACAAATGGCTTATATTTGATCATGAGCCATTCTAATCTTCGCATAGTTGCTTTAATTTCGGAAGAAAATAAAGATAAAATACAGTCCAACATTTGGATATTTTTTTATCAAAGCTTTCGTCTCACATGAGCCAACATCATGAGTGGTTATATGGACATTACAACAAAGATATTCACCATCAAAAATGATATCCTCTTATGTTTACGTAAAAGTTGCTATGCGACGATAACAGTAAAGAAATGCATTAGCTCCACTTAAATATTTTGCTTCCTTTAAAAAAAAATACACGAATTTCTCTTAAACAAGTACATCAGCATCCATTAACCAAATACATTAGTTTTTCTTATACAAATACATCGGTATCCCTGAAACCAATACAAACAAGTATATCGGCTTCCCTTAAATAAATACAATGGATTCTTTTAAACAAATTCATTATTTTTTAATTAAAAGGAATGAACTTCTTCGCTTCTGAGTACCGCATAAGGAAAGAAGGAAATATTAACAAATCGAAAACGTGTCGCTTGTTTGTTTATTGAATATTAAACCACTACAAGCATGTTCCTTTGTTCTATCAAATATTTTCTCTATCTTTTTATATATATATATATATATATATATATATATATATATATATATATATATATATATATATATATAACACAATAATAAATAAAGACCAACACCCCTTTTAAAATTTTATAATCACTTTCCCCAACCAACTTAAACTATATAATACTATTTAGCTTAAAAAAGTAAATCATTTTTATCAAAAGTTCTTCAACATCGCTTGAGAATGAAACAAAAACTTTAATTTTAAGTTTAGGTTTTAGTTCCGAAACATGGTAATTTCTGTGTCGCTATGACTACATATTTTAAATAAATAATAATAATAATAATAATAAATATATATATATATATATATATATATATATATATATATATATATATAATTGTGTAAATGGGCAGCAGTCCTTGTTTTATACAAGTTTCGTTAAAGACGACTGACAAGGCACAGTGATTAAACTTTTTATTTAATTTTTCTTGTTCTTACAATTATCTTCTTTTTTAGACGCAAAGTGGGCAAAAACTGTCCAAAAGTTCTGCATATCTTAGCGCTTTCGGCTATTCTTTTAGCCATTATGAAGGAAGATTTTTATTTTTAACTGAATTGTTTTTTTAAATTTTTTTATGTATGTATCTTATTTTCCAAACGCAGTCATCACGTTGTGGCCGTATTCATAGTTAATGTTATTGAGTGTTGGCTTTTCTTTTTCTATTATTAGTGCTTCATTATTTTGGACAGTTTTTACACACTTTGTGTCCAGAAACAAATCTCTTGTTCAAACTGAAGAAAACTGAAATAAAAAGCTTAATCGCAGTACCTTGTCTGTCGTCTTTAGCAAACACTGACACGCAGCTTAAAACTCGCCTAAATCAGCAGTAGGACTCTACAGGGTTCGGAAATCCGGATTTGTCGCAAAACCCGTCAAATCGCGGCTCTTATTCCCGTCATTACAGCGGGAGATATGAAGCTCTTGGTCTCTTTTCACCCTCAAGATGTGAAGAGACAACAAGGACTCATCTTGTCCTTCAGCTGACACCACATGTTGGACGTTTTTGAAAGTAGATCTTTCATCGTTCTATAACAAAAAAAATTTTTTTTAGGTATATGTTTTTCTTTCTTTTCTCAGACATATTTATAATGTCTACTAACATAATTAATAATAGGCAGATCAAATTCGAACTCACTATACAAACAATCGTCTGTAAGTCTAGCTTGCTCTTCAACTGGAGCTATTTTCATTAAGTTTATAAAAAGCAATTGAGCATTCAGTGAGTATCAAACTCATGATATTCCGAAGCATTTGTATCGATTCTGACACACATGGGATTCTTTCTTTTTAAGTCTGTTTCGAGCTCAAAGTATTCATTTAGATCTATCGTTTAAACATGTTATATTAAATATTAAATCCGATAAATTAAACTGGCAGCTGATTTCGAAAATGATCTTCAGTGAGTGGTTAACGGGGGCAAGAAATGATTTGTCAATTTCTAACCCCTACAAAACTAAACTGTTGTCTTTTAGTTACTTTAGAGAAGCACTTTCGCCTTCTATTAGCATGGCTGATGCTAACCTTCAGGAGAGCAGCTCATTAATGGTCTTTCTGACATGAAGTAAAATAATGATATTGAATCAATTGATAGAACTTCTGCTAGGAAAGTTGTTTCACTGTTTCTTACCGAACAATTTTTCACCTTCATTCTTTGAAAACAAGCTCAAGATGAGTGGAATAATACATCGCAGGATGATATTTGCTTTAGTGGTACCCAATGTTACGGCGATCCTCGTAAATACAGCGGAAGAGGATAGCAGGTGAGGCGGAATGATTGAAAGATAATCAAAGATATAGAAGCAGCTTTAAAAAAATTCATATGCCAAAAATAAATAGGATTTCAAAATTTAAAATGTTATGGATTACTTATAATTGCATGCATGGGTCCCAGTATAAATAGTTATAAATGATTATTGACCGATTTTATCATTGTGATATTTTGGCATTATAACAAGTAATAAGAATATAGTAACTAGTGTCCGCAATTTGGAGGAGAGTGTTATCAATGATAAGGTCCTGACTTCAAATCTCCAGTTATCTCCCTTTAAACCTCTTTCTTTTCTCGCACATTTCGCTTGTGGAACTCCATTCCGGTTCCATACTTTCCAGCCAACTTTGATCTTAAAAAATTGAAATGCAATGTCAAGCACTACATCCTGTTTTATTGATTACTCTTTTATTGTTTCCTTTTTTTATTCTTTCACACTCAGTAACACCTTCTGTCTTAGTCGCTTTATTGCCTTGCATGGGGTGAAATGATTAAAAATATACGTATACATATATTAAACAGTATTTTAGGCAGTAATCTATCTATTTATCTATCTCTCTCTTTCTCTCTCTCTCTCTCTCTCTATATATATATATATATATATATATATATATATATATATATATATTAAACAACATTTTTACTTACCAATCCTTCTATCTATTTATTTTCGATAATTTTAATTACGAGTATGATATTTTTGGCCCGGAAATGAATGATAGAGTTTTAAGGATGATAAACATGTCAATTGATCGGCGTCTGTGTTGTTAAATATGGAAAAGAATAACAAAATTTGAAAGAAAGGACATTTGAAATTCCCGGCCTTCTTCTGGAGTTCAGAGTAGCGAAATTTTCAAACAAGAGTGGCCAAAATTAGAATCTTAGATTCTGAAATCGTAAAGGTAATGGAAATGTAAAAGAAGACGAAACATCTGATCATTTTTCTTTTTCTTTCTATCTATCTATCTATCTATCTATCTATCTATCTATCTATCTATCAACACGTCTTATTAAATAGAACGGGAAGTGAATGTCTGTTAAGCCTTCTTGATGTCTAATAAATATTTTGATATCAAATGTTATCTTGTAAAATATGAATACATTCGAGTTTTGTTCATCAACTTTAAGGAAATATAGAAATCGAGAGGTAACCAGTTAAACGCACACATGAATTTCTATCAGTACAACACACACACACACACACACACACACACACACACACACATATATATATATATATATATATATATATATATATATATATATAAAGTATGATAAATTTAAAAAGAGCTGTAATAGAAAATCTTATATATTTGTCAATATATGTCAATATTTTCTTGAGGTCATATCACATTGCAGAAATCCCATGAATGCAAGCCATCATAGGAAATGTAAAACAACAGAACTAAAATATCAGGCTGCAATATATATATATATATATATATATATATATATATATATATATATGGTAGACTCTCCTATCCTATAAATAATGGTCAGCATCGGATGGTGCCTTTTGTTTTACATTTCTGCATGCTAGCAGGGTCTGTTGTGGAGAAAATCCTGATTTTCTCCACAATAGACCCTGCTAGCATGCAGGAAAACATTTGTGCTTTCTTAAGTGCGATACTAGCCCAGCCTTGCTGTGGGCAACAAATCCACACTGACAGATGAAATTTGTTCACACAGGATTTTGATGGCGTGTCTGCTTCAGAGCTTGATGAAGCTGAGCACGGTGCATCAGTCTACTGTCTTCAAAACCCTTTAACTTAATGAGACATGTCTTACGCTGCTCCTTTCAGTTTGATGCTTGGGCTTCCCAGGTTTTCAGATTAAAGTTGTCTTTCCAATTGAATGCTTGGGAGTTTGGTAGTTGTCCATACAACATCTTTTTTTGGAAGCCTATGCTCATCCATTCTCCCAACATGACCAGCCCACCTAATTTGTATCATGGCTAAAATTGTTTTCAATGCCTGTGATGTTGTTACATTTCTTCAGTATTGCACTGTTCTTGATCCTGTCATTCCATTTTATATGACATATGGCACGAAGACATCGCATGTGAAAGGCATCAAGTTGATTTATGTGCTTGCGGTACAAGGTCCAAGTTTCAACACCATAGAGAAGGGTTGAGAGAACGACTGATATGTCGATCTTTGAGAGACATGCTTTTGGTGTTCCATAACCTATGTTTAGATTTACCAAATGCTGTGCTGGCTTTGGCTATTCTAGATTCGATTTCTCTGTCCATTTTTCCATCAGAAGAGACTGTTCATACAATATATGTGAATGTTTCAACAGTTTTTTCAGTCTTCTTTCTGTTGATAGTGAGTCCAAATACTTTCGCGGTTTCAGAGAATTTATCAAGGATAGTTTGAATGTCTCCTAGACTGTGTACTAATAGAGCAGCAGTATCTGCAAAGAAAAGATCGCATACCAGCTGCAGACCAAGTTTCGATTGTGCTTTTAAACTTTGATAATTGTATAGACATCCACTTGTTCTGAATTCAATATTGACTCCTTCACTTAAGTCAGAGAATGCTTTTTAAAGCATAGCAAGAAAGAAAAGTGCAAAGGGAAGAGGAGCAAGAAGGCAACCTTGCTTTGTACCATTGGAGATGAAAAAGGCTTTCTATTATTCACTTCCCGACCTTACAATAGCTTGCATTCCTTCATGAAAGGAGATATAATATGGAGTATTTTTTCTGGAACACCTAATTTTGACAAAACTTTACAAAGAGCAATTCGAGATACAGTATCGAAAACCTTTGTGAAGTCTACAAAAAACAACAAATAGATCCTTGTTTTTTTTTTTGTGCCTTCTCCTGAGCCTGGCAATGATATGGAACGCTGATATTGGAGTAAACGGACGTGTTTTTTTTCATTGCTCAAAGAAAGCTATGTCGTTTTTTAAAAGAAATGCTTGATTTTTATAATTATCCAATATTTCATTTTTCTTTGTTTATTATAATATATGTTACGTACTATGTATAGTATTTAATATATTTTATTTGTTTTTGAGAGAAGTCGTGGCATACAACGATTTTTATTTTTAAATTATTTTTAAATTTTTCATTGTTGTTTAGCAAATGTAATTTATTAAGAATATCTCGCTAAGACTTAACATAATGCATTGTATTTGTTTTATTTATTATATAATGGCATGAATAATTCTAGATTCTAATCTATTTAAAATGAAACGTAATATCGCTTTGTTTTTACAATTTGGTTGTAATTTTTCGAAACTGGAGGAAAGCTTTTAGAGTTTTAATGCTTATTTTGTTTATATATATATATATATATATATATATATATATATATATATATATATATATATAACTACAAAATAAATATCATTCATTGTCTACACAATGTTAAATCAAATTTGTGCCAATGAAGAATGTTCACAAATCACACATACACACACACACACACACACACACACACACACACACACACACACACACACACATATATATATATATATATATATATATATAGAGAGAGAGAGAGAGAGAGAGAGACACGTCGATGCTTGTGCTAGCATGAAATCCCAAATCAATGTGATTAAGCGTGCTGGTGTTTTTCAGAATTTTGATCACAGCAGATAACGTCCTCTCTCCCAGAAACTGTAACTAAGATCAGCTCAGCAGAGTGGCAGTATCAACCACAGATGGCCTCTGTGGGTGTTGAATAAACACAAATGTGCCCGAGCAGGCGTCTGCAATAGGGAATATGATAGCGGCTTCAGTAGAAGGGCATCCATTCATCCACACACACACACACACACACACACACACACACACACACATCATTCACATATATATATATATTTATAAATATAATTAATATATATATATATATATAATATATAATTTCAGATATAATAACATAGTTTTTACAAATATAATCAAAGGGTTTTAAATTTAATTGTTCTTTTAGTAATGTTTCATTTTTCCGATTTAATTTTCTCCTTTTAACAACCGTCATTAGAAAAATTAAAGTCAAAACTAATTTTGAAACCCTATATTATTAATAGTTTTCCGATTTTGTCATCCATAAGTGTTATTAGAATTTATTGATGTTTTTTTTTAATGAAACGTTCAGCAAATTCTGATGGCAAGGTCATGCGGTGACATTACCTCAAAATGCATTTTAAAGATTTTGACTGGGTCTTTTCGATTTAGAAGATTAATTCTCGAAAGCTGACAGCGATCGCAAATCGAGACAAAAAACACAAAAGTTATTCATTGCTTCATTTAAATTTGCAACACAAGAAATAAAAGTTACATTTTAATTTTTTTTTTTTTTTGAAAACCATTTGTGGACGTTGAAAGAAAATCAATAGCGTCACTAAACGGAACAATACAAATATGCTTTCTTAATGTGGACTGTGTGACGACATGTTAGGAGTACAATCAGTATATTCACTAGAACAATGTTGTAAATTTCTGGCTAAAACAGACGTTTACAGGAAGCGTATACCCAAGCAACATTTTTCTACGAATAACCAATGCGCTTGCTGGGTAGTCCATATATAAGCCGAAGTGACGCTATGAGAAATTTCTTGTGAGTAGGCCCAGAACACTGTGTAGGAGTAAAATCAGTAAGGCGGTAATCGTGTTAAACATATATAAATGAAACTAGTAGATAAAAGGGTGATTTGGCTTTAATAGTTGCAACAAATAACAAGGCACTATTCCCATGGAGTATATGCAAATGAACTTGTCTTTCACATGCGGGGTTTATTTTCCACATGAGAATCAAGCCAGAATTCATTATTTTGTTAAAACTAATTACCGGTGCTCAGAATTAATTTGTTGAAAATAATTACCCGTGTCTACAATTCATTACTTTGTTGAAAATAATTACCCGTGTCTTCAATACATTATTTGTTGAAAATAATTATTGGTGTCTAGAATTCATTATTTGTTGAAAATAATTACCCGTGCCCTAAATATGGTAAAACTGACAGATGATCTGAAGAATCATAAGAAGGTCGCTCAAGCTGCCAACGTCCAGCCAACAATTGTTACCCGTAACAACAATACGACATGCAATTCTATCTGTTCCATCTGTTAATCTGTCGATAAATCTCTATCAGGGCTTAAAAACAATCTGCTTAAACAATCCAGGTTCGTGCAAGCCGTACATCTCTAGGTAAAAAAATATTAAATAAGTAAAGAAGAATCTATCTGTTCATATCTATCTATCTATCTATCTATCTATCTATCTATCTATCTATCTATCTATCTGTTCATATCTGTCTGTCTGTTTGTCTGTCTCCCTCTCTCTCTCACCTCTCTCTCTCTCTCTCTCTCTCTATATATATATATATATATATATATATATATATATATATTGATAGATATTGATAGATAGGAAATGAACAAATTGTAGATAGATATGAACAGATTGATATTGATACATATGTGTGTGTTTGTGTGTATGTGCGTGTGTGTGAAAATATATAGAAAATAGGAAAGAACTCGTTAGGTAAGCAAAAAGTTCTTTAGTATTTTTGTGTTTATTAAAAAAAAACAGTGCTCGATATAAAAGTAGAGCCTAAATATAATTATTTATTTAAAAATATGATTCCATCGCTACATAAAAGTTCTCATGTTTCAAAACAAGAGCCGAAAACTTCAATATAATTATTTGAATTAAATTGAATTAAAGTACCAAGCTCTGTTCCATCTTCAAGCGAAATTTTTGGAATAACTCATTCTTGAAATTTACGCGTTTTTATTCGTTTTTATAAGCATATTCATTATTAAAATTAAAATTACTATGGTAACGGCTAGAGCAATTATTTAACTAATGGTCGTAAAGGTTAATAATTTGTATCAATATCTCAGTTACATTCAAACAGGTCAAATCAAGGTCGGCTTGGGGTGTCTAAATTTAGAACGAAAGATGACATCGTCTAGTCTGGTTAACCGTTAAGTGTCTATGGAGATTTATTTATTTATTTTATTTTATTTTCTTTCCTGAAAGGGTTTTGTGTATATAAAAAAAAACTGTCATAATTAGCTAACATTTGTTTTTTTGACAACTTCATAAAGGCGTTTTTTTATATGATTGGGTAGGGCTTTTAAACTTTTTATTAAGACAATGGAGTTTAAAATTTGTATTTATTATTTAATTCTTTGTTTTTTATGCTAATTATTTAATGCGAGAATGTCGGCCAAAAAACCGTTAATAGAGAAAATTAGAAAGATTATATAAAGTGAATTTAAAAAACTCAATTTAAAAAACTACAGTGTGTACAAAAGTAAAAATGGTAAACTTCCTCGACGTAACTCTGGATTTAATGAACAACCTAACACTACCTAACATCTGTGAGACACTACGGAGCCATTGCCTTCCCCCCTTTTCTGACAGTAGTGACTATGCGCTGTCTTATCAGCAGAAAATCTTTTTCTGTTGAGTTTTTCATTCTATGCTTCTTACATTTACTCCCTCTGTTATCCTCTCTACCGAACTCCTACCGTTTTTAGTCAATCTTCTAAAGTCAATCTTCTAGTCAATCTTCTTCTGATACCCAGTGGAGAGTGGATGGACTGGAGTCGGAATGATGAAGGTAACATCAATCATCTAAGTGACAAAAAATTTTACTTATCTTAATATATATATATATATATATATATATATATATATATATATTAAGATGAAAAATAGTAAAACATTTTTCGTGTGATGGGTTTCGTCCTTTAGGTTATCACCAGACTAATGTGATGTGAACGAAAAGGAGGGGACGCTGAACTATGAAATTTTTTAATTATATTTTTAAAATATGTGTTCAGGTCCATAATCTCGCAAATTTAATACCTTTTTTTTCATTTCTATTTCCATCACTTTTGTTATTGAATATCGCACATTGTGATAATAAAAGATCTACCATGAAAGGTTTTTATAACATTTGATATTGATGATCTAGCGATTAAAGTACTTTCTATATAGTTAAGTCTTCGTAAATTGCTTTCTCTTTTAATTAAAATAGAAATTGGAAATTATGGTGAGACTCATTACTGTGGGTGACTAAACGATTGAATGTGTTGTTTTGTAAAAATCCCTTTTGTGTTCATATAATAATTTATTTAAATTCTTTGAGGTATTTATTATGGCAATCATTGCAGATGATAGAGTAAATTTGTCCTTCAAGTTTTAGCTAATTATTGTTTTATTTTGTACTAGCAGTAGAGCCCGGCGTTGCCCGGGGATGTAACAGTAAGAGATAGATCAAGTATTCACCATCATAAAGACTGAAAAATAAAATTGACAAAGATTATTGTTTAAGGTTGACGGACACGCATGTCTTAATTAGGTTTTTTTTTTTTTTTTTTTTTACGAATTGGTCAAACCCAAACCGAAACAAAAACATTGTTTTCAATCGTTATGAGTCTACCGATTGAATAGAATTTTATTATAAATAATTGTCTTGTAAATGGAATTTTTAAAGCATTCTGAATATTAAAAATAAAGAAAAAAGTGTGCAAGACAATAAGAAACACTACATGCCAAAAAAAAAAAGTGAAGTTTTGTTGAAATCGGTTGAAAAATGTAGGTAGCCTTTCTGTAATCTTTTAGTTTTACAATCTATGATTTTTACTTATTGAATACAGTAATAAAAATTGCATATTTTGCTTGTGGTGATTCATAATTAGAATTCTGATTTGAATATATTTTCCACTCGTTGTTTCTAATACAAAAAATATTAACTTTATTTGGGTTTATTAATTATGATCTAACAAATCTTATTAATTTAGTAGCCTTTATGTAATAATAATCTTTTACAATTTATGATTTTTTACTTATTGAATACAGTAAAAAAAATTGGACACCATGTATTTAAAGTAGTTTCCCGTTCGGTTATTATTTTTAGTTAGGACTTGTGTATGTTTAGATTTCATTATCTTTCCCTAAAGATAAAGAATTTATCCGATGTTTGTATTCGTACAATCAGTAGAGATCGTTAGATTATTGTTTAAGGTTGACGGACACGCATGTCTTAATTAGTTTTTATTTTTTTTATTTTTTACGAATTGGTCAAACCCAAACTGAAACAAAAACATTGTTTTCAATCGTTATGAGTCTACTGATTGAATAGAATGTTATTATAAACAATTGTCTTGTAAATGGAATTTTAAAAGCATTCTGAATGTTAAAAATAAAGAAAAAAGTGTGCAAGAGAATAAGAAACACTACCTGCCAAAAAAAAAATGTGAAGTTTTGTTTTATCGGCTGAAAAATATAGGATATCCGCTCCCATATTAAAGTAACCCACACACACAAACAACCCGATGTGAGTTGTCTCCCTTCCATTTTCACGATGTTTCTTAATCGTGTTTTCAAATTGATTTTGTGCAAAAACAATTATATTTTTCCCATTTTTGGCGCTGTTAGAACCACCACAAGGTAATTCTATGTAGTTCTGTGAAGTTTTGTTGAAATCGGTTGAAAAATGTAGGAAATCCGATCCAATATATAAACGTTACAGACACACACACACACACACACACACACACACACACACACACAATCTGCGTTTTATAATAAGTAAGATTAAGTCTTTTAGAAGTAGTTCTATCAAATTTTATGTTTTCAATTATATTGATATCGAGTTGGTAGATGGAATAATATATTTTGATTCGTTGGGTTTGTCGACTCGTTCATTTTGAAATATTTTACCAGCCTTTTGTTTCGCGTTGAATATGAAATAATTAAGGTTTGGGAAAATGTTAAAAGTATTTTCAATATATTTCTCTTCTTCAAAGTTTGTGTACTCTTGAATAGAATCCGATAATTATTCCTGATTTTATTTTGTTGCTATGTGTTATGGGGTCCACTCTTTTCGGATATAATGGATTCGTCCTGCTGCCATAAAATAGCCACAGTCAGGCAGAGAAGATGAGTCGTACAAGAGTCGTATGGAGTCGTAGGGTGTCGGATGGAGTGAAGTAACCTCTTGTAGAAGTCAGTTACCAGCACGTAGACTCTAAGGAAGTCCTACTTCGAGACTGTATATATCTATCTGTATTTGCTACTAACCGTGTTCCTGGATTTTACTAACAGCATTACCTTTTGTATTTTGTGTAAATACATTTAATTTCTTAGCTTAAATACTTGCGTTTGTCATTTATTGGATACCTTTTTTTCACGCGGGATCCACAACAACTTGGCGAACGAAGATTCGAAACTCACGCGGAAAAGAAAAACTTTTCGTACGCCTAACCAACAACAACTTGGCCACAAAGATTCAAACACAAGCGGAAAAGAAAAAGCATCAACAAAAGAAAAATCCTTCCCTCGTCGTCCAACAACAAATTAGCGACAAACAATTTTCGAGGAGTAAAAATACAGAAAATTGAGTTATCATGGAGGATTTTAAAAATATGTTGGTAGAACTAATAAAGCACCAAAATGAGCAACAGTTACAGCTACAAGAAATATGGCAAAAGCAATTATTACAAACACAAAAGGAAAATCAAGATAGAGAAACAGAGCTCTAGGAACTAATATTGAAAGTAGCAGACAAGAAGCAGTTAGATATTGAAAAAGAAGCAACATTTTCGCAAGACGCAGTGTGGAATACCATAGAGGTTTTTAAATATTCTCTAGATGAGGACAAAAATTTTGGAGATTACTTCAGAAGACATGAAGACATCTTTAACATAGACTGTCAAAATTGGACAGAAGCTAAAAAGCTACGTCTGTTGCTTAGAAAATTAGGAACTGAAGAATATACAAAGTTCGTGGATTATATCTTGCCAAAAAAGACGAACGAATTAAAATTTGACGAAGCAGTGACATGTCTTAAAGAACTCTTCAGCTCCAAAACATCACTCTTCCATAGGAGGTGGAAATGCCTTAACCTGGTAAAGGGCGATAATGAGGATTATTCCACGTTTGCCGCAATAGTAAATAAACATTGTGACGACTTCAAACTAGCGGAATTAACCCCGGATATTTTAAATGTCTCATCTTTGTTCAAGGGCTAGTTTCTACAAAAGTCAGCGAAATGCGTAGAAGAATGCTGGCAAGATTACAAAATGAACCGGGTCTAACATTACAGCAATTATCAGAAGATTGCCAGAGATGTTTAAGCAATAAGAAAGACGCAAAGGACATTGAAGAATCAGCTGTTTCTCATATACGTAAGTTAAACAAAAGTCTACGTTCTTCACCCTCCCCGGAAAGAAAACTAAAATTTTACGACAATGAAAAAAGATTCTCACCCTCCCCGGAAAGAAAAATAAAATATT